GGAGCCTCCCTGCCTGCTCCGGGTGCAGGCAGCGGGGCCGAGGGCCTGGCTGATCCCGGGTGCAGCAAGCGTGCCGGCAAACCTCCGTGCCCTGCAGCGCCAGCAAATCCGCCCGTCACCCCTGCGGTGTGACCCTCAGCCCGGCACCGCGTCTCTGGGAGGTGCGTTCTTGGCACGTACACTCTGAAGCCTAATGAGTTCATGGGGTCTTCTAGAGTGTGTTAGCCTCACCTTGCCTTGTGTTGCAGGCCCAGGCGGCAGACATGGAGCTGGAGGAGGCTGGCTTCAAAGGCCAGAAACGCAGTAAGGCTTGTGCTGGTGCCCAGCGCTGCACCCAGGGCACGGGGGTGCCCGGCTCTCCCCCAGTCCTGGACCAACACGCCTTTGCTCCCGTGCTGCTGGGGACGGGCTTGGCCCAGCCACTCCGTAGCAGAACAGTTTGCAAGCCCAGGGTGCAAGAAGCCAGGGCTGCTGTCCTCCTTGCCCCCCCCAGGGCTTTAAGACCTGCTGCTGTGTCCTGACCAGCAGCGCCTCTTTCCTCCTCTCTGCAGACCTGGACCCAGGGAAGCAGCCGGGGTTTGCAGGATCCTGGGCAAGGGAACGCCGGGATCATGGGCTGGACCCCGCTGATGCCCGGCTCAGCCAGGTGTGGGGCGCGGGAGGGGGTTAACAGCGTGGGGCTGAGATGTGGGGGTGCAGTTGGGACCAGCCAGGGGACGATGCAGCACTGACACCGGGGTGCTCCTGCCCTGTCCCACCCCCCCGGTGCACTGAAGCTGCATGAACACCAGTCGCCGGCGGTGCCCCATGCCCGCTCTCCCCTCTGCAGGGGCACAACACGGGTGCGCAGGGCACCGGCAGCAGCGGAGTCAGTGACATCTCTCCTGGCACCTTCCTCGATGGCTCCTGGATGGCTGGTGAGGGGGGACAGGGCACTTTGGTGCTTTCTCAGCTCTGCTTTGCCACCCCCAGCACGCCAGGCCCAAACCCTCCTGCAGAGTGATGCCTCGCTGGGGACTAGCAGATGTGCTGATGCTCAGGCAGATTTTGCAGCTACCGCTATTTAAATAAAACCACAGCGCACCACAGAGACCAAAATAGCAAGTGCTAGGAGAGCAAAATTGTACCCTGGGAACCTGGGGGTGGCCACACAAATGTTGTCGGTGGGGCTTTTGCAAAGACGCAAAGGGCAGTTTGGGACCAGGACTCTCCCATCGCGCAGTGGCTTCCCATTTTTCGCGATAGATGAGCTAACAGCATCCCACCCCTGTGCCCTGCTGCCCCGGCAAGCCTTTGCACTGCACCCACCGCTGGGCTGTGCTGCCATGGTGGAGCGTGGGAGCATCCGTCAGGGTGAAAAATTACCCTGGTTTAGAAAAAAAAGAAGGATGATATCGTGGCTTTTCCTTTTGGAAGCAGTTGAGGTTGAGGATGTTGCTGGAGGGGGTGAGATGCCTTCAGTGTTCGTGCTGAGGCATGCACCAAATGCTCCCTGGTGGAAACAGGCATTGCCGGCACCTCCGAGCTGGTTCAGATCCAGCCGGGTGGGGTGGCTCCTTCCCATCCCTGCCCGGGTGCAGGGGAGGCTCACAGCTCTCTGCTCTCCCACGCAGAGCTGGAAGGACACCATGCCGGGTGTCCCCGGGGTGATGCCAGCCCTGTCCCATGGGAGGAGCGCTGCTGGGGGCTGGCTCAGCTCCTCGGCTCCCAGCCCAGGCCGGGGGACCGGAGCAGCTCCAGCTCTATCTGCACGGAGGACTTCGCTGCCAGGTTTTGGGAGGGCATGGTGGAGCCCCTGCTGTTCTCCGAGGAGGAGGAAGATGAGCCCACTGGGGATGTCCCTACTGAGGGAGATGATCCTGGGCAGGATGAGTCCTTATTCCCCGCAGGGAGAAGACCGAATGTCCAGCGACTGTTGGCGGTGGAGCCGGGCAGGCATCCCTTGCAGGGCAGGTCTCCATCTCTGATGAGGAGGGAGAGCCTGGAGTCTCTGGGAGAGAGGATATCCAGAGTGAGCCAGAGCGATGCTTTGGGGATGGCCTGGGGGGGTCCCTGGCCAGCCCGCTCTGCACAGCCAGCCCTGGGCCGGGAGGACTCTCCCCAGCGGGGTCCATGCTCCAGGGAAGACCTGTTGGCCATTGCCTTGCGCAGTGAAGACCTGGCTGCTGGGCGTCCCTGGAGAGCCCTGGGCACCTTGGCCGGCAGGAGCA